GAGCTCATTGTAGGCTGGATGCTGCCTGCGGTGGGCCACGCCTGGGCGGAGCACCCATGCAGCAGATGCGAGCGTGCGCTGTCTGACCACGCTTGCCTAGTTGTTCGCTTGTCTTGTGCGCCGTCTGCGAAGAGACGGACCCAGCCTGCTCGAAAATTCATCTACTTGCAACCGGTGTCGCAGCTCGAGTTTGCGAAGAACATGGGCGATCGGGGCAGTCGTTACCGTGCATTGTGCCAGGAAAATGCGGACCCTGAGGATCGACAGGAGATGTTGGACATGCTAGGACCTGACCTCATAAAGGCCGCCGAGGAGACCCCCCAGAAGGATGCCAATCCCAGGAATAATGTACCAAAGAAATCCGAGATCTACTGGGCCGCCCAGGAAAGTATACGTGAAGCACTTCGTCGTGGAGGTAGAGAGGAGGCCAAACGGTGCTCAAAGATAGTGAGGAGAGAAAGGAGGAGGCTGGAGGCAAAAGTACACAGGTGGAGGACGGAGATGAACGCGAGGAGGAGGAGGAGGGCCAAGACGGAGACGCTGATCCTTGCCAACGGGATGGGGTCTCAGAACCGCGAGGAGTGGGGGGGCGAGATATTGGGGCACATGAAGTCTAAGGTTGAGGGCCCCGAGGCCAGGGAGGTGACCCTTCGTGAGCTACAGTTGCTGCGTGGTCTATGTTCGGGAAGCGGGTCCTCGGAGGTGTTCTCGATGTCGCTCCTGCTGCGGGCGAGGGCGAAGCTGTCCACGGGAAAGGCCCCAGGCCCCGACAACGTCACTGTCATGATGTTGAAACAGCTCTCGTGGGCATCTCTCCGACGTGTTCTGGTGAGCTTCCAAGGTGTGTATTCCCGCAGGTAATGTTGCCCCGACAGTTGGTGTCAACTAGCTGCCACGCTCATGCCTAAGGAAATGGACATACAACACTTGACATATACACGTGTACTATGTCTACAGTCGTGTCTTATGAAATGGTACATGACATGTATTGTGATGATGATTGAGAAGAGGATTGAGGAGCACCGACACTATGTGTGCCTGTACGGATTCAGATCGGGACGAAAAACATAGGAAATCACCAGCGTTGCAAAATGGCTCAGCCAGCACTCCGCTGTCTGGGGCAAAGGAGACAGTTTGTGGCTTGCCAACCTTGATATTTTGCAAGCATTCGATAATGTCACCCCGTGCCTCGCCATGCGCTGTCTTCGTGCTCTTGATATACCAGCTGATCTCATTGTGGCGTTGATTGAACCCATGATTGATAATCAGTGTGTGGCCAGCTTCGAGGGCATCGAGGCATCTTCAGCTGTCTATTGGGACAAATCTATTCGAACGGGAGGAGTGGAGGGGCCGATGATTTTCCTTGCAGTATCTATTGTACTCTGGAGAGATGTGATTGACAGGTGGAGGCAGGTTACGCAGTACGGTATCAAGTTGGAAAATGATGAGCGCATGTTCAACGGTGAGCGTAGGACCCACAGTTTCTGGGCATATAATCTTTTGTTGTATGCGAAGACTCGCTCTGACCTCGAGTTGATGGTGCGTGACATGAGTATCCCGCTGATGAATGCAGGAATGACTTGGAAGCCGAGATCCTTGATGTATATTTACTTTGGTGCGCCGCCTGGCATCCCGCCGTCCCCCGAGCAGGATATTCGTGTGCTGGTGCCGTCTTCTGATCCTGCTCTCGGGGCCCGAGATGTGGTCCTGCCGCGTGTGCAGTCGTTTGAGATCCTGGGAGCCACTCTGGAGGAGACCTGGAAGGACCACTCGGACTCAGAGGCCATGCTCCAGAAAGCCCAGAAGGTATTCTTTGGGGAAATCGCTTACTCTCGCTGCTCTGGTATTGATTTGGCTGAGAGGTTTACTCGTTATCAAGCTAAAGTGATTGCTGCATTATTATTCAACTGTGAGGGCCGAACGCCCGACTATTCCACCATTGCTGCTGTTCACTCTTTTGAGGGGAGATGCCTGGCGTTGATGTCAGGTCTACGCAAGCGGAGAACCGACGGATGGTTTGAATTTCAACGTAGGCGATACAAAGTTTGACAGCAGAGGCTTGTTGAGCTTGGATTTCGAAGTGCGGTGCAGATATGGATATTTCGTTGTTGAGATTGGGCCAAGGATGTCTCAGTTGTTGCAAGTATTCGTATGAGGAGGTACACAACACACACAGGGGAGGAGGAGGTGAAGACGGTACCAAATCGGCGTCAGAGAAAAACTCGGGCAATGGCGGCGGCGGCGGCTTCTCAAGTATCCCAGATGTCGAGTGGGGGTCGTCGGCGGACAACGGATGATCGGCCTGCCATACCTGAGGAGTCGAACATCTTACGTGAATGGATGATATCTAGGCTGGCCATGCTACATGGAAGGGGGAAGTGGGCGGAACATCGGGACGCATGTATTCTGGCGTTGCCTGCAAACGATAGGAAGCATCTCACACGCATGAGCATGGGTGCGCCCGCCCGTGGACATACTGTATGGGATTGGTGTTTGTGCGATCTCTTTGGTTGTGAGTGGTACCTCTCGTTCGACAGCTCCGCTGGGTCCCGCGAGAAATATGGCAAACATCTGCTGACTGTGATTGGCATGCAACACTTGTTCGAGTTATTTGTTTTATCCAGGCCACCTGGTGTGAGGTACGTGAAGGCGGAGGAGGAGGTGGAGAGAGAGATGAATGAGAGGATTAGCAAACGTTTTGCTGCTAATTGTGAGAATGAAACGGAGTGGAGGTGTGGGAGTATTGAACGTCTTGGGATGGAAATCCTGGGAGATAGTAGGACGGTCGTTAACTGGATGTGTGGTGAGTGGCAGATTCGTAACAAGCAGTATGTACGACTGGTGGGAACACTACGAAATACTTTATCGATGCTGTCTGGATGGGGACCGACCGCACCTGCATCGGGACAGAATCTGTATAAACATTTCTTTCGTGAGGGTAATGAACGTGCGGATAGATTGTCGTGGGAGGCCAGAGGTGGCCAAACTATTACTCGCTGGTTTGCATATGATCAGTTTCTCAGTGCTCGTAAGACTGCTCTCCGTGGTGCATTCGATGGGGGTGTCAGTAATGAAGGATGTGGAGGCGGGTGGTGGCTTCAGATTGGCGTCGTAGGTAGGGGTTCCAGCGTGCAGGTTGATTTTCCCATCTCCTCCTCCTCCTCCTCCTCCTCTTCCTCCTGCATCAGCTCGCAGAGCTTCCATTGGCGCGATGTGGCCGAGGAAGCGATGAGCTTGCCTCCAGGTAGCACGGTAACCTGCTGTGAACTAGCTGCCTGCGCTGCCCTGACGAGAGCTGCTGCTAAGGTGGCGTGCGCTCTGCTGCGACCTACCTAAGAAGGTGGGGGGCTCAGTTTCACTGTTCCGCCGATTCGGATTCGGGTTCTAGTGGCGGACCGCAAACCGCAAAAAAAACAAGGTTGACGGTTTACCGCCGGCTTCCAGTTGATGATTCAGGAAGCTTGCTGGCTGCGTTAAAAGCACTTGACTCCTAGAGCTTTCCCATGAATAAAAAAAAAAAAAAACAGCAAAGGTCTAGTGTGATTCCATAGCGTCGGCGGGTCAGTTCGCTCGGAATCGCCCGGAAGACCTTTCGCTTGGTCTGCCGCAAGCCCGTTCCTTTCCGCGCGCTGTTTCATGCGGAATGCAGCCACGACGGCGCCATTGCTAACAAATTGCTAAATCTCGAGGGCGAGTCCGGAAACGGTTTGTGGGCGCGCCGCAGGTGTAGTGCATTAGGGGCGTGGAATGACTCGTGGAGCTTCCCCATGAGCGACGCGGCGAAGCTCTAGAGGAATTCCACAGCGTCGGCGGGCTAGTTGGCTCAGAACCGCGCGGCTGACTTTTTACTTGGCCCGCCTCGTCTCTTCCGTGCATGGTTGCACTGAGACATCCCGAATGCAGCCGCGACGGGGCCATGCAAACGAATTGCTACATCTTGAGGGCGAGTCCGGAGACGGTTTGTGCGCGCGCTGCAGGTCTAATACATCGGGGACGTGAAATGACGTGTAGAGCTTCCCCATAAGCGAACATGCCGAATGCCGCGTCGGCGCCTTGCAAACAAATAGCTAAATCTTGAGAGCGAGTCTGGAAACGGTTAATGCGCGCGCCGCATTTGCAGTGCATCAGAACGTGAAATGACTCGTAGAGCTTCCCCATGCGTAAAGCGGCGAAGCTCTAGAGTAATTCGACAGCGTCGGCAGACCTTTTGCTTGGTCTGCCGCGAACCCGCATCTGCACTTTGAGACGTTCCGAATGCAGCTGCGACGGCGCCATTGCAATCGAATTGCTAAATCTCGAGGGCGAGTCTGGAAACGGTTTGTGCGCGCGCCGCAGGTGTTTTGCATCAGGGGCGTGGAATGACTCGTAGAGCTTCCCCATAAGCGAAGCGGCGAATCTCCAGAGTAATTCCACAGCATTGTCGGGCTAGTTGGGAGAGATAGAGAGAGAAAGAGAGAGAGAGAGAGAGAGAGAGAGAGAGCAAGAGGGGGGAATCCATCCATCAACGCATACTCGCATATGCATCTGGTGTGTATGTATGAATGTGTGCGTGTAGGTAAATCTCTAGGTCGGTGGGTAGTTCGGTCTGTCGGTATGCATGTGAGTATGAATGAATGTGGGTTTGTAAGCAATTCTGTTTGTCGGTATGAGTGTATGTCTGCATTCATGCATGTTTGTCGGTATGTATGTTTGCGTGTATGCATGTTCATGCATGCGTATATCGATGCGTATATAACTATACATGAGTGTTTGAATGCGTGCATGTGTAGAGAACCGGTGTTACATTTCAGTGTCCCTCTCTCTCAATGCAGCGTGTTGTTTCGCTGACGTTAAGGCTCAGACGAGAGGGTGCGTTGGAGGTTCGCCCGCGCACCGAGTAGAAAACATGGTAGCGGAGCCGTGAGTTCGCTGAGGCAGCGTTCCACGGCTTGCGCCTGGCTGAGGCGGCAGGCGCGGTGAGCAGCAGCGACTGGCTGAGGCAGCTGGCGCGGTGAACGACAATGGCGACGCTAACCTCTGGTGGCGCATATATGTGGTCGCTGAAGGACACGCGGGTTCACGACGCGTTCGGGGGCGCTCAGGATGAGTTCGAGAGCTATTTCTTTACGGTGGAGGCGGTGACCGAGATGGGCTGGAGGCACCTCCACGACGCAGCGGTGACGCATGTCGGCCCCAGGCTCGAAAATGGGTTTGGGGCGCTGTGGCAGATCTATGCAGATTGCCGACCCCAAGGCGGCACATCGGAAGACAGTCTTACTTACCACGATTGTGCAGCCTAAGTTGTGGACGACCGACGATCATTCAAGGCGCAGCTTTCGGAGGTCCTTCACGATTGGGATCATCTGGTCACGCAGTATGAGTTGGCTAACCATGAGAAGATCTCGGACAGACTGAAGTGCGCGACCATCTTGGGGTACGCGCCACTCCCGATCAGGAAGGTGCTCGACGGCGCGAGCCAGGAGGTCAGGGAGAAAAACGACGTGAAGGTTTTTGCCCCGAAGCCCACTGTGGTGGGCGGAGGGTCAGGAGCAGCGCCGGTGCAGGTGGGTGCTGTTGGCAGTGTTGACGCCATCGGGTTCGACAAGCCCTGCTGCGCCATCTGCAAGCAGCTCGGCCACACTGCTGGCAAGTGCTGGTTCGGTAAAGGTAAGAGCAAGGACGGCACATGTAAAGGTGGTGGTAGAGGCGGCTCTGGCGGCGGTGGAGCTGGCAGAGGCAGAGGCAGCAACCCTGACGAGGAGAAGACTTGCCACTACTGCAAGAAGAAGGGCCACATCGAGCTGACTTGTTTCGGGTTCAGGAAGGGCCAAGAGGAGAATAATAAGGGTCAGGTCAGTCTCGTCGAGCAGCAGGGCGAGGTCGAGGCGATCATCGTGGCGAGCGACGACGACTCTGACGGGTGCGGCTTCTGCATGTCGCTCGAGAGCTACGACGATGACGGCCCGATCGGCAACCAGGTGGACTACGGCTTCCACGACGCGGTCGGCGACCAGGTGGACTGCGGCTTCCACGACTCGATCGGGGACCAGTTGGATTACGACGGCCAGGGCACGGCCAACGACCAGCTGGAGGACGAGTTCTTGTGCCGTCCCTGCGATGACGAGCTGGTGATGGCCATCGGCAGTGGTGCGAAGTTTCCGGACTACGGCGTCGACGAGTTCTTGATGCTGGACGGCGGGAGTGACGAGCACTGTGCGAGGCGGAGTTTCGCCAAGCACATCATGGTGAAAGAGACGAGTTCTAAGTTGGTCGCCGCCCAGAAACAGAAGATCTCTCTCGACGGCGAGTCGAAGGTTCCCTTCGCGATGGGGGGTCAGGTGGCTTGCCGGGCCGATTTCAAGATCGACCCCACTGCTCGCAATTTGCTGAGTACCCGAAGGGTTTTCGACGCAGGCTTCGACGTGGTCTACTCGCACAGTGACGGGTGTTTCGTCAGCTACACCAGGCCCGACGGGAGGTGCGTGAAGGTTCCGATGACTCGGAAGAGGTACACGTTTGCGGTGCCAGCGAGCGTGCGCAGGGACATGGAGGATGCCAAGCGTGAGGTCAAGAAGGCGAAGCGGCTGGCAGGGAGTCGCGAAGGCCGCGGACGACTACACGACCAAGCAGCTCATGAGGTTCATGAAGCAGTTGGCCTACCAGATGCCAGAGCTCAGATGCGACACTGAGGCTGCGGTTAAGGCGCTTCAGGATAAGGTTGTCGGCGCGAGGAGTGAGGAGAACCTTGAGACCAGGGTGTCACAGGGCAAGACGAGAGACAGAAAGTCGGTGTGCTTCATCGAGACTCCGATGATGGCGCAGGCGTCTGAAGGCCAACAGGGTGCAGGTTGAGATGAACTACGGGATCAAGCTCACACCTCATTCTCCCCTCTGGCCGTTTCTCGCTCACCACGCTGCGAACGTGACGAACTGGTTCAGCAGGGGCGCCGACGGCGACGCGGCGTATTTACAGGTCAACGGGGTGAACTACACGGGCGTTGTGGTACCGTTCGCAGAGACGGTGATGGCCAGGATTCCCGTCTCCAAGACGGGCCAGCGACGCTCGATGGTGCCGAGGCTGACCAAAGCTGACAAGGCCTGGGTGAAGGGGATCTGGGTCGGCAAGGCGACTACCAACGACGAGCGCGTCATTCTCACGGTGGCTGGAAAGGTGACCTGCAGGATTGTTCGTAGGATGCCGAAGGGGAAGCGCCACGACAAGGAGCTGTTGCTAAAGGTCTGCGGCGAGCCCTGGAAGGAGAGGATCGCACGCATGCCTCGCTGTCTCGTCATGGACGGTGGCAAGGGCGAGGTCGTGCCGACGCCGTTGGAGGCCATGGGCACGGAGGCTGATGGGGGCCGCCCCAGGGGCGCTCCCGAGTGGAGCGGAGGCCCCAGAGGCCCAGGGTCACGAGGCCCAAGCTCCAGAGCCCCAACCTGAGGCTCCAGAGCCTCGGACTCCAGAGCCCCGGCCGAGGCGCGGAGGCCAGGCTGAAGGCTCCGAGGGGGCTCGCGGGCGCTCGGCGGAAGCTGGTGGAGGCTCGAGCAGTGGGCCTTCTGCCCCCGAGGGGGCCAGTGGCAGCGGTGGGAGAGACGCTGCGATGGCTGCTGCGCCGAGCTCGCCTGCGATACTGAGGTCCCCGACTGGTGACGCCGTCATTGGGTGGCGCGAGGCGAAGACGGTGCGCGTCGAGGATCCGATCGTCGGCGCCGTCGAGGACATCAGTGAGCAGCTGGACTACAAGACGCTCCTGACGGCTGAGGAGCTCACGCACTGGGACAGCAGCGGCTTTCCCATGGAGGAGCCGGCGGAGGCGTTCGACAATGGCCTGAAGCTCTGCGACGAGTTCGGCATCTACTCGGTCCACCCTCGGGGCGCCGCCGACGGCAAGAAGAAGGTCGACACCAACTGGGGGAAGAACGGTCGAGCAGGGGTTCTCAAGTACAGGCTCGTGGACAGGGAGTTCGCCTGGCTGGAGGAGCGCGACGACTTTTTCGCGCCAGGGTCGACATCCCTGACTAGTCGCGTCATCGACTTTCTCAGCGCCTGAAGGGCGACGATGGTCCAGACGACCCGCTTGTGATTGCAGTTGGCGACGTGACGAGCGCGTGCTATCAAGTACGTGAGAAAGGGGAGTTCTATTGCGATCCTCCACCTGGGCGGCTTGCCGCGAGGGCCAATGCAGGCCTTGGCGTGAACGTCGTCTGGAAGCTGGAGAAGCAGCTCCCTGGCAGGAGGGCTGCGAGTCGTGAGTGGATTGGCTATGCTGCTGACCTCCTCTTGGACTGCGGGCTTGATCGGAATGAGGCCTGCCCACAGTTCGACCGCAAGCCGATGACCCGACTGGGCCTCGAGTTGCACATGGGCGACTTGTATTGCACGGGCCGCAAGAGTGATCTGGAAAGCTTTCTCCCCGCGACCAGGGCCAAGCTGAAGCTTAGGGACAGCGACGTCGTTATCGAGGGCCGCTTCGAGTTCCTGAAACGCACCCGGATCAAGACCAACGAGGGCATCTTCCTCCAGGTGCACGAGAAGCACAGCAGCAACATCATTGCTGAACTGGGGCTGAGGGGTGCTAACCCAGTCAGGACTCCAGACTTGGGGCCAGAGGAGACCGTCGAGCACTCTCCGCCGCAGGTCGACAAGCAGGTTGCGAGGTATCGGTCGTGCGTGGGGAGTGGTCTCTACCTGGCTCGGGACCGCGCCGACATCCAGAGGGCCGTGGGTACGTTGGCGGCCAGTCTGGCGACGACGCCGCCGGCGCTCTCCTGGAAGAGGCTGCTGCGGCTCGGGCGCTACCTGGTCGGCACCTCTGGCCTGGGCGTGTTCCTCCCGAAGGTTGATGCGAAGATCTACAAGAAGGGCGTGGTCCACCTGAGGACGTTTTCGGACAGCGACCACGGAAGCAAGGAGGCGAAGCGCAAGAGTACCACGTGTGGCGTGCTGTACGCGGACGGCGTTATTCTGGCGACGCTCGGGAGGAGGCAGGACCTGATTGCAGTGAGTTCGGGTGAGAGCGAGTTCTACGCGCTGAGTGCCGTGGCGATGGGTGGTCAGATGCTGAGGGGCCTGCTCACCTGGTTCGGGCTCCGTGTCGAGTGAACCTTGGAGATGGACTCTTCGGCATCTCGCTCAGTGTCCTTGAGGCAGGGTGTTGGAAAGGTGCGTCACTTGGACACGAGGTCCCTGTGGGTCCAGCAAGCGACCCGCTTGCTCAACTTGAAGGTGATGAAGTGCAAGGGAACGGAGAACCCCGCGGACATCGGAACCAAGTCACATGCGGCTGAGGTGCACGAGCAGCTCTGCGAGCAGGTTGGGCTGCGGCATCTTGGCGGAGATGTCGGTGCAGTTCGCGAGGTCGAGGTGAATGCGGTGATCGAGAAGGTGGCGCGCGCAGCTCCTGGCACGCGATTTGGTGGAAAGGTCTCGAGCAGCCCGGCACTCAACGCGGCGATCTTGGCACTGTGGCTAGCGATCCAGGCTCAGCAGGGTGAGACAGTTGGCGATATCGGCAGTGAGGACGACTACGGCTACATGATTGTGCCCATGCTGGTCTTCCTCAGTTGGCTTGTCGTGTTCGTGATGGGCTGTTCGGCGGCTTGCTGCTGCTCCGGAGGTCGCGGCCAGATCGAGCCCCCGCCGGCAACGACCGACAGCAGGAGCGGAGTTTTGGTGGCAACTGAGATGAGGCTGAGGCGTGAGAGACCGCTCGAGGTTGCGCGGAGGAGGCCCTGTGTACCAGTTGGAGGGCGATAGCCACGTGCTGCACCTGGATAGGGGGTGCCACTTTCTTCGAGTAGTTCGTGATGTCGAGCGCAGCCTTAGGCAGCGCGCGGTTTGCAAAGATTGTGCTTTGAATTTGCTGTGAAGGATGAGCCTTGAGTCGATTTGGCTGGCCGATCGTGTCGAGCGGAGTTTTCGAGCCCAAATGAGTTTTTTGAGGCTAGCTTTCTGGTGAGAGAGAGAGGTCCCCAGCGAGGGGGTGTAGAGAGTCTGCGAGAAATTCCAGTGTCCCTCTCT